GTTTTTTTTTTATTAATTTTATATGAGAAATGTATGGAAACCCTTTTTTTTTTGCCATGGAATAAAAAATAAAAAAGCTAATTGCTACTTTTTATCTCACAATTCTGACTTTTTTCTCAGAATTGCAAGATGTAAACTCAGAATTATGACTTTCTTTCTTACAATTCCAAGTTGACATCTTAGAATTTTGAGTTTATGTCTCATAATTCTGACTTTTTTTTCTCAAAATTCTGAGTTTATATCTTGAAATTCTGTCATTTTCTCAGTATTCTAAGTTTATATCTCGCAATTTTATGTTTATGTCTTGCAATTCTGAATTTATATCTCTGAATTGTCCAAAATTGTCAGAAAAGTCAAAATTGTGAGTTTGAATTGCAAGGGGAAAAAGTGTGTGGTTAAAAACATTGGCAATTTTGTTGTTTCATTTTTAAATTCTGTGGTGGAAACATGCTTCCATAAATTTCCCCATGTACAGACTGTAGGAAATGCAAACGTTTATATATAAATGGGGAAATGCACAGCATATAGAAATCTGTTTGCTAAAATGAAACTCATCCTGCTGCTTTGAATGCCAGATTCTTCCTTTGTGCAGATTCATTAATTTGTGTATTGAAGGGTTTTTTGAGTGTTGAATAAAGAATGGCTGAATGTATTCTGCTTCATCCACACAAAGACCTCCTGCCGGAGATGGCAGATGGAGACGAACATCACGCAGAGTTTTCAGAACACTGATCCCAGACCTGTAGATGCAACTTCAGCCTTTCCAAACCCATTTACACATTCTGATCTGAGATCAGCTTAGGTCTGGCTTTACAGGCTGTTTTTAGGGCGAGAGAATAACCTCTATCTGTAGCAGAGACAGATGACTGAAGCTTTGTGCTCATGCTGAATAGAGCGAGTGTGTTACTGTGTTTCTGTCTAATTTCATCATTCTGAAATGCTTTCACACAACTAAAGTCCCTCGAAAACGCATTCATACAGATGGTCAAATGCTGTGTAAAAATATTTTTCTGAAGCTGTTTTGGAACAATATTACTTGAGAAAAGTGCTATACAAATGCATTTCATTGAATTTATACTGTGAAAAATGCCTTTTTCACACCAAAAGTGAAACAAAAGAGCAAAAATAATTGATGATGAATGATCTATCAACAACATTCGAGCTTGTTTCCACCACAGACTAAAAAATGTAAAAAGGTAATTGTGACTTTTTATATCTTACAATTGCAAGTTATAAACTCATAATTTCAAGTTTATATCTCACAATTTTTTCTTACAATTTTGAGTTTTACATCTCGCAATTTTATCTTTTTTCTAGCAATTCTGAGTTTATATCTTGCAATTCTTACTTTTGTTTTCTCATGATTGCAGAAAAAAAGTCTTATAATTGTTATTTATTTATTTATTTCCTGTGGTGGAAACAAGTGAATTGAATGTTCAGGAGAGAAAAAAATAATAAACTAATTTACTATGGTAATCTTAATCGTTATTCAATTGTATTTTTTGCAATCAAAATCTTCCAAAAATGTGGCTAATATACACACTAGAGCTAACACTCCAAATCTGTTGATTTACACTCTCCAAATACCTTTAAAACATGATTTCCCACTTGTATACTACCTTGAAGTCATGTCTTTTTGTTTAGAATATTTGTATTTATTGTACTATATCTACTCTAGATGATCTGATCTGTTGTAGTGACAATCTGCTGTTTCTGGATCATGAGGCAGGAGGCGTTTTGATCTGTTTCTGTCATCCTGATGCACTGCTCTGTGTTGCGAGGTTGAACAGTAGCTGTCAGTCTGTGGATGTAGGGCGGGTGGGGTGGAATTGGAGGACGGGTGGCGATCTGATTTGGGACGAGGCCAAGCAGCAGGATTTGTCGACTGTAGTTAGACTGTGATTATCTAAGCCTGAACGCACCACTGTTGTGAGCACGATCTGTCATGCAGCTCGCCTCTTTCTGATTTTCTCTCCTTGTACCAGTTGATATTTTTTGCTATGCGATATTTTTAATTGCTCAGAGGTTACTATTTACATGCTTTCAAAGGTTTGGGGTTGGTACGATATTTTAAAGTTTTTTTTAAGTCTCTTGTGCTCACCATGGCTGCATTTATTGGATAAAAAATGCACTAAAAACAGTGAAATATTTTTACAATTTAGAATAACTGTTTTCTACTGTAATATGTTTTCAAATATAATTTATTCCTGTGATCAAATCTGAATTTTCAGCATCATTACTCCAGTCTTCAGTGTCACATGATCCTTCAGAAATCATTCTAATATGCTGATTTGCTGCTCAAGAAACATTTCTGATTATTGTTAATGTTTAAAACACTTGTGCTGCTTCTTATTTTTGTGGAAACTGTGATAAAAAAAAACTGTGAACGTTATAAATGTCTATACTGTTGCTTTTGATCAGTTGCATCCTTGCTGAATTAAAGTATTAATTTATTTGTAAAGAGACTTTAGTTCTTTCTTTTAATTATGAAACTTTGTTTCTTCTTGATTTTTTTATGGAGGAATAAAAATAAGCACACATCAATCATTCGCTATAAAATGAATGTGAATATCAGCTCAGATAATTTAATCATGGAGAAAATTGATCGAAGTCTTCATTTGTTCACCATATAATCATATTGCTGTCTAGGAGAAACAGTTGAGATCTTTTTTGTCAGGAGTATTTTCACTGTACTGCATATGAGAGTGCACATACTGTAGTTTAACAGCGAGGGTTCAGTTTGGGTTTTCAGCTGCTTTGTTTTTTTTTCAATCAGGCATTGTCACTAAGCTACACCCGTTACATTACATAAGTCTGTAGGAAACACATGCACGCAGGCTGCAGAGTACAGGCGCGCTGTAATGCCTTTCCAATTAGATAATCGTGCAAATGTAAGAGGGACAGAGAACTGAGGATGAGAGAAGAAATGCACATGTTGACTGATCTGTTATAAAAGAGCCCTTTGTTTATCTGTTTTATTAGAGGTGTTTCAGGATCACCCTAGCAAATAGTTGTCATGCGTTCCTCTAGAGCAGATGCATGGCATTACTGTTGCAGATTTTAAGTATGTTTTTAAACTGTATGTGTGTTTGCATGCTAGCGAGGGATGGAGAGAATTAGACCGAGAGTGTTTTGCACACTAATGCATTAATGCGTTTGTGTAACTTAATCTGTGTGTGTGTTATGCAAACATCAATTGCAAAAGTCATTGCCACAATGCTAATTCTGTTCTGAGTGGTTTCCAAGGCACTGCAATGTGGCTACTAAGATGTTCTTAGCATTTTTTTTAGCATGTTAGGTGTTGCTATGCAGTTGCTAGAGTGTTCTGGATGGTTGCAAGGTCTTTGCACTCAAGGTATAAAACCTTATTAACCAATACAAGCAATAAAGTACAAGCAATGTACCAAAGTACCTTTGGATAAATGGTTAAATGTAATGCATTACACATGATGAGGAATCGTTACGTCTGGAGTGTGAGTCATGCACTAAACTTCAATGCTTAGTCTGAGGAGAATGTCACTAAATATGAGGAATAGTAATAGTGATGTTTGACTTAGCATCAGTAGAGATGTCAATTTTTTCCTACTGCTTGTGTGATTGATGTTTGTGTGGCAGCTAGTGGAGGATGTCTGAACATGAATGGGAAAATTGTGAACCATAAATTCTAACCATATTGCCGACTCCCTGAAGCCCACATAAAAAATGACATCATCACCTCATCTCATCTACTCCTCTGTTTTGGAGTCGAATCTAGGCTCTCTCGCCCTGTTGCTGTGTTGGTGAAAAAGTTTCAAACTCCCTCCTCTCCTGTGCCCATCTCACACTTTCCATCTGTCTGGCCATAAATGATTCAAAGCTAACACAGCCATCAGCAGCAGCTATTTAAGTTCGGTGTATGACTCAAGATAGACTGTGCATAAGCAGGGCTAAGTTTACCTACTTAACTCTTGATTTAAGTTAGAGATCATGTGCGGTCAGCCAATGATTATAGCAAAATAATTGGATGTGTTCTTATTCCTGGTAGCTAACTATAAGCGTACTGACTTTAACTAACTTGCTTAGTACGATTCTCTTTAAATTGTTGCTCCACCATGACAGTAGCTGATCTGAAGTAGAAATGAGAGTAGAAGACAGTTTATGCTAAACGTCTGCTATAGCGCCTCTTGTGGCAACACTGAGAATGCAACTCATGTAGTTTGTCCTTGTGCATTTGGCCTGATTTCACCCTACACCAATTCAACAACCTGAAAATATATTCAACTTAATTTTTTCAATTTTTTGCTGTCTACCATATTATTACCAAACCTGTTCACATCCTGTTCACATCTTTTTAATTTCTAAGTGCTTGGCAACTATTTTGGTTTGTTCTACTTCACATATGTTGCATTCAGTTTAATTCAAAATCATAATTTAAAATGTTTAATTTGGAAAAGTGCAAAAAAAAAAAAAAAAACAGCACTTGAAGTTGAACATTCAGCTTTGAAACTGTGGAAATCCCAAACTTTGCAGAATCTCAAACTAGTATTGCATAATATTGTTTATTGTTTATTATTGTTAATATCCAGAGTCGTCTTTATTAACAACTGAACACCTGCAAAGCCAATGCAAGCTATTGGCAGTTTTTTTTTATTATGCGTTGTTAAGTGTTGTATTTCTGTAGTTTTCTGAGATATAAAGAAGGAATCCCAAATCTGACAGCAGCAGTTTTATTCAAATAGTAAGATCTGCCATAAGGACCATGACTTGTAATTCACATAATAACAGTTTTAAGCTTGATACGGTATTCATAATTGATGGTGTGTTCAAATCAGATGCTGATTCTTTTTTTTTTTATTCAAAATGAATAATTTCTTTTCGAAAGCTTGCTCCTGTTTTTCATGAAGGTTACCAGGCTTGGTAACAGAAATCAAGATGTTGTTCATTAGTCGCTGACTCTCACATTTTGTTTATCTGCTCTGTCCTCTTTTACACCTTCTAACTTCGCTCTTTTTGTCTTTCAGACTGCTCTGCGGAGGCGAAGCAGTAGAGAAACCTTCAAAGATAAGAAGTCTTTAACTCAGGTGTGTACAAAGAAACACAAAGATCAATTCACAAGCCTTATATACTGTTAAAAATAAAGGTTCTTTATTGACATCTGTGGTTCCATGAAGAAACTTTAACTTCAATGGAATCTTTACATTGCACAAACCATACTTTATAGTTGAAAAAGGTTCTTTATATTATTAAGTTCTTCACATAAAATTGTTCTTTTAATAACTGTTCACTGAAAGGTTCTTTGGGGAATCCAAAATAGTTCTTCTCTGTCATGGCTTCAACCCCCCCCCTTTGGAAACATTTATTTTTAAGAGTGCACAGAACATCAAAATATGCTAAATGCACTACTTGTTGAGTATATAGACTACAGAACATCTAGACTTCTAAAATGTTGTCCAGGCCGATTAATCTGTCACTATTTGCTATTTCGAAATGAATGGTATTGCCTTTTACGTTCACTTATTTCTTTCTTTCCAGGAGGACAGTGCAGATCTGCGCTGTCAGCTACAGTTTGCCAAGGAGGAATCTGCTCTTATGCGTAAAAAGATGGCAAAACTTGGCCGCGAGAAGGATGAACTGGAACAAGAATTGCAGAAGTATAAATCAGTATATGGAGACGTGGACAGTTCTTTGCCCCTGGCAGAGGTGACAGGTGGAGGCCCCCACACCTCCCGGGAAGCCGAATTAAGGTTACGGCTCAAACTGGTGGAAGAGGAAGCCAACATTCTGGGAAGGAAGATCATAGAGCTGGAGGTGGAAAACCGTGGCCTCAGGGCGGAAAACGAAGACCTACGCTGCCAGTACGAGAGGGACTGCTTTGGGCGTGAACCCTTCTCAAGCGTCCCTACTTCACCGTTTGGTGGTGATGCCCTGGAATCTGCAAGTGAACTGCGGCGACACTTGCAGTTTGTGGAAGAGGAGGCAGAGCTGCTGCGGCGCTCCATCTCTGAGATTGAGGACCACAACAAGCAGCTGACGTCTGAGCTCAACCTCTTCAAATTTGGACCCAGCCAAGCCGATCGGGAGTCCGAGGGAGCTGAGGGTGGAAATGGTGGCACTCTCAAACCTGGTAACGGAGGAGGTAATGGTTTCTCGGGAGCAGGGAGTGGTGCCCCACTGCAGGAGGAGCTGAAAGCCTCAAGACTCCAGATCAATGAGCTAAGTGGGAAGGTGATGAAGCTGCAGTACGAGAACCGGGTGCTAATATCAGATATGCAGCGCTGTGACTTGGCGGCACACTTGGGAATACGCACCAGTAGCCCACGGGATAGTGATGTGGCTAGCGATGCCGGGCGAAGGGAACCAGATGAGGACGAGACGACCAGGCTTCTGCTGCTCCACCCCAAACGTGAGGGTCCTGTTGGTGGGGAGAGCGACTCCGATGACTTGTTTGAGAAAACGGCGACTTCTGGATTCGCCAGTGGCGAGAAACCTTCAGATCCTGGCGAACTGGGAGTGGCCGAGTTTGCCCAGCGGAGACGGGAAGACCGTGAGACGCTCCACAACGTCAGGCGTGAAGCTGAGATGCTTGGTAAAACGGTGGAGCGGGTCATCGCAGATACGGACAGTCTGATCCATGAAGGTCGTCTGGTTGTCCTGGGAGGGGACCTTCTTGCGGAAGGTTTGGATTTCAGAGGCGATGGGGACTCTGCTGAATCTAAACCCGACTCTCAGGTGCTGGATACCATCAACACCCGCATGAGGGCTTTCCAAACGGAACTCCAGCAATTCATGGACAAGGTGGACCACCTAGGGGTGGGTCTAAGGGACCGCGTCGACGACCTTTCCCCTATGCCCAACCTCACCGAATCTAGCAGCTTCCTTTCCACGGTTACCTCCATGTCAAGGGACTCACCCATCGGGACACTGGGAAGGGATCTGGTGACGGACTTCCAGGTAGGTTATGTGTATCTCGACTCTTCATCTTTATTCAGTTTTTGCCGTCACATGCGATCACATGACATGGCAACTTCCTTTTTTCCTTTGCTGCTTCTTCATTTGAAATTCCTTTTTTGAGAATGCATACACCTTTATATTGATTCTGCATCTTCATGTATCATATATCGAAGGTCCTGAATGCACCATAAAGGAAGCTATTCAACTAATTTGGCTGGCATGACTCTTCATCTCAAACCAGAAACAACACCCAGATAAGAAGGGAAATAGGTAGACTTGCTTGAGATATGGAGCTGTAGGCAGAGTATTTGAATAGCAAACTGGTTATGCAGTTGCCTTGCCCAACAGTGATATTTCTTATCTTTTTTTTTTGTTGTAAGTTATATGTGAAAAAACATCCATGCGAAAGATTAATGGGAGTTCTGTGAGCAGAGTTACGTTCTGATAGACCTGCTCTGAGATTAATGAGATAATAAAACAGGATACACAGAGTTGTGAAGATGTTTGATGCTTTTTAATTCATTTTGACATTAATAACCTTCAGCATAAATGTAGGCAGTTGAACAAGTCTTCCAGACATCACAGAACAACACTCGCTCATCAATATTAACTGACCTCTCAGTTTTCTTTGAGAACACCATATTATTTGTGCTATTTTTGCTGTATGTACATGAATTTTCTGCATGGATGGACTATCCAGATGACCTGCTGTACTACATTTGCCAAAATGTGCACTATACGATAGGGCACACCTCCTGGAATACAATATCCCAGAATGCAATGCACATTTCCCTTACCCACACATAGGCACATACCAGCACGAGCGCTACCGAGCTCAGCCAAGATGCCCCTACCTCTCCTTTCCTAGAAAAAACCACCCTCGATGCTGCTCATAAGCACCAAACACCTGCATCTGTACCTGCCCCATCCTCTTACCCACAACCCCCTTGTCTAGCACCTGGGGCAGGGGGGTGTTTAGGGGTATTTCCCGCATGGCTTCACAGAGCTATGTGTACTATTTTGGTTGTCTATGATTTGAAGGGTCCAAAATGAACTGTGCCAGTAGTGGGTAAACTAAGAAATATTTCCCAGCCATAAAAGTGTATTTTACTGAAGCTTATTTCTTACCACAGAATAAAAATATGACAAGATAACTACGACTGTTTATCTCACCAATCTTTTATTCTCTTCTCACAGTTACGAGTTTATATCTGAAAATTCAGACTCTTTTTTTGGAATTCTGAATTAACATCTCGCAATTCTGACTCTTTTTTGGAATTCGGAGTTGACATCTCGCAGTTCTGACTCTTTTTGGAATTCTAAGTTTACATCTTGCAATTCTGACTCTTTTTGGAATTGTGAGTTAACATCTCAGAATTGCGAAATTCTGAGTTTCCTCAGAAATATACGAGAAAAGTCAGAATTGTGAGTTAAAAAGTTGCAATTACTTTTATTTATTCCATGGCAGAAATAAGCTTTGATAGTATTTTGTATTGCTTAGTCAATATTAGGGCTGCACATGATTACAGAACCGGCTTTACTGATAAGATGCACATTAAATATCGCATGCGATTTATCGTGCAGCCCTAGTCAATATCAGTTATATTATTTTTATGCATATTTGTCACAAATAGCCCAAATGTTATTCGCAGCATCATATATGACATGAATACAAGCGCACAAACCAGCTGTAAGCGATTGACCAGGGCACATACGTGCATTTAGTTATAAATTGTGTGCCAACTCATTTTGTAATGCATCAATGCATGAAGTCTCTCGGGCATTGCTAGAAGCTAATAACACCCTCTGTGCAAATGCTTGCTGCAGCAATCACATACTTGCTTAAAGTTTGTTTTTGGCCTTAAACTTCACTTTTAACAAAGACAGGAGGACGCATTGTTTTCTAGATCCTCATATTTTCATGTTTACATGTTGCACTTCTTAATTAGGTTATCGTAATTAAATTGATCTCGATTAAATTTTTATTTACTGGCACTTGTCAATTTTGGACCCGGCTGATGTGGTATGATGCATACTAACATTAGTTAAAATGGCAGTAAAATGTGTTTGTCATCACCTGGGGTCTGGCCTTGAGCAAATCTAGTAGTTTATTTGCACAGTTAATGCTGATGCAATGTATATGGAAGATGCAGCCATTAATATGGCAGACAAGAAGTGCTTATACTGCGGACTTCCAGCTCTAGAGGCTCTGTGTGACCTGTGAACATACTCTGAATACACTAAATGTTTGTTTCTCTATATATTTTTAAGTGACTCTGATGTGGTTGATCATTCTAAGGAATAATGCAGCTGTGTCTTTTGTCTCAATTAATGATTTTAAAATGTTTTGGTGTCATATATGCTAAATAGTCTCGGAAAGCTGCCCTCCATAGAACTGCTTGTAGCTTATTTCCTGCTTTGTGCTTTGAAACTGCTTTATGATAACATGAGTCAACTTTCCAACTAATAACCTACATGCAACTACGGGTTTGACATCTATTGATGTTTTAGTAGCTTGTCGTATAAACTGAGCTTCTGCACGTGATTTGATATTTCAAATTTAAGGTCAGTAGTGTCTGAATTGCGCTCTGATTGGTTGATTAGCTCATTTGGCTCATGTTCATTGGTGGAAGCCATCGGTTAAACTGGGCGGTTCTTTGCTTTGGGTCACATCACTTAAATCTAACCACTAAAACACTCTTCATCAGGCATGAAGTCACAGCTTTTTCACCTCATATCTATGAACGGTTAGATGTCCCCCACCGGTTAATGATAACAGACCTGATATACACTCATATAGGATGTTTATTCAAGAGCTTCAGCTCGTTGATATGCTGCTTTTCTTCGCATGGCTGAGCTTTGCTGCCGTCGTGCCGCATCCAAACCCTGTCAAAGTCCTACACACCTTGCAGATGTTTGTTCTGCCTCATCCAGAAGCCTTTAGCATTGTTCTATCACTGATCAGGAACCTAGAGTTATAATTAAACAATACATCAGTGGTAATTATATAGTATAATATAATTTGTTTTGTATTCATTATCAGCTATGACATTGTATCTTTCTGTTGTGATGCCAAAAATCTGTACTTTTTGACAATTGAACATCATAATGAGATTTAAAGGTTTACTTTTGTACTAGCTTGGCAAGCTTATTAATAAGCTAGCTAAAACCTTTATTTTAACCTATGGTGTATGGAAGTGTGGTTCTCAAGTGGTTTTGCTTTCAGGACGAGGACTTAACATTCAACATCAAGTGACCAAAACTATGTGTACCTCAAAAAAAATTGTGGATCAAACATATTTATTAATTTGTATTTATATTAAAATATATTTATTTTATCAAACCCAATTTTGTTTTAATAAATTGTTTTAATGTAGTTAATTATTAAAATAATAAAATGTTAAAACATCACATAGCTAAATGTTTAAAAGTATGTAATTATTTAAATATAATTAATTATTTAACTATGTTTTTGGTTATTTTATATTTATATTTATATTTATAATATTTTTATGTTAATATTTATAAATATAGTAATTAAAATAATCATTTAGAAATTAATTTTAATTACATGTATTATTTTAATTATTAGCTTAAAAATTTGCTTATTAGCTTATTAAATAGTAATATTAGTATTATTTTAAGTATTTAACTGTATAATGTATTTTTTATTTTCAATTATCTTTAATACTATTGATAAAGCTAATAATTGTAATTTTTTTTAGAAATGTATTATTGTAATTTCATGTATTTTAATTATTAGCTACATTAATATTAATATTGCAATTAATATTAGAATGAATCTAATAATAATAATTAATATAATATTTAGAAATGTATTATTTTAATTACATGTACTATTTTAATTATTAGCTTAATATTAATATAAGGTACTAATTAAAATAATTGTAATTAAAATGATAAAATAATATGTAGTTAAATCATTAAAATAATGTAATTTTCATTGTCATTATTTCATTAAGAATTATTATATTAATATTTAATTATATTAATATTAATTCAGCTATATGTTATAATTGTATTAGTAAAACACCCCCAAAAAGTTCTTTGAGCCGTTTAAGCATTAGGGTTTTGACCTGGTCCTGGATTTGGCACGACACCATTAGCATTTAGTCCCAGCTGTCAGTCACTGCACATTTTGGGTTATTGGTTATAAGACTCATGTATCCCCATCGCATGCGCTTCATAACCAGTGTTTTGCATTCTTTTTTTCCCCTTGGCCCTTCCCTTCTTCTCTCTTCGTCCCTCATTTCGTTCCCAGATTCAGCCCATGATTCTGTTCCTCCTCATTCTCGTTCTCTTCTCGTCTATCTCCTACGCCATCATCTTTAAGTTGGTCTTTCTTTTTGCGCTTTTCTTTGTCTTGTAGCCCGCTGGCTCTCTCTTTCTTTCTGTTTTCCATTCGATCATTCTTTTGTGATTCATAATCATTTTTTGAATACAATGTGTGTCGATGACCCCTCACCTTTGCATTTCACACTCTGAGTTTCGCTTAAACCCACGTTCAGTTTTATTTTTCCCCTCCACTCTTTTTTCTGTATTCTGTTTGTCGTTCACGATCCCCATGCACCTCCCTCTGTCTCCACCTCCCCAACCCTTTCCTCCCCTCCTCACTCACAGTACGGGCGCAGGGAGGAGCAGGAGTGGTGCCTAGACCGCCAGAGTGTCCCGGAGGCCCCTGGACAGGGACAGGGCGCCGCTAAGGGCTCCGTCACAGCCAGGGGAGGCCCTGGACTCAGTAGATACACCAGGCCCCACAGTTTCAGACCCGAGGTCAGTGCCTCGTCCATCTCCCTCTCAACTTTAAGACAGATATGTTTCCAAGTGTCTTTGCAGTGCCTCTGACTTCCTGAAACACCTGACAGTTTAATGTGGTGCACAGTAAGATAGTAAGATGGTCAAAACTGAATGGATTTTCCCGTGCACTACCAAAACTGCGTGTTTCTGTAAAGCCTTGGTTATCTTGGGACGTCGTCACATGTTTGATGGAAATACGAAAGTAGCTGGAACAGTACTAGGGGTGAGTTATTCTCAAGAAAGCATCGCAGTTTCAGAAAAGTGTTGTTTTCCCATTTAAAATGTAACCATATCACATGAAAAGCCACAGCTGTCAAAGATATCCAGAGATAACCAAGTCTGTGATCCTCTTTTTAACATTAAAACAGGCCAGTAAGAGATGTTTCGGTGGTGTATGGAAAACTAGAGAGCTGGAGTGCCTTTCCTTGGGAAAATGTACAGTACAGATCAAAACTCGCACACTGGTTTAATGACAAAGCTTTCCGTCCTGAAACAGGAATGACCTCGCTGTGTTCAGACGTGCCAGATTTTAAAGGGGTCATGAACTGCCTTTTTTATTATTTTGTACTGTTCTCTGAGGTCCACTTACAATGTTATCATTTTTTTACATCAAAAAACATCATAATTCAGAAGTAATAGGCTATTTTCTGTCTTGTTTTGACCCCCTCATCAGAACGCTCTGTGGTGGATTGTCGACTCAGAAGTAAACGCCCACTGCTGTGATTGGCTAACAGTTGTGTATGTTTGACAGCTGCATCCTTCACAGATGATTTAGGTTAAAAATGCATAAATACTCAGTACATATCAAACGATCTGTAATAACAGACAAAGCAATAGTGAGCAGCACGCAATAAAAACAGTTCCTCACACTCGTGTGGTGCGACATTACTATCAGATCTGATACATTCAGCACAGCATCGTCTTTTAGTTTCAATCTTTCGGAAAAATCCTGAATCCAATTGTGCCTTGTTTGTAAACGATTCCGCGGTGAAATGAAGCGAACAAAGGACCAAGTTCTTGCTGACACAGTCTGGAACTTCATTAAAAATAAACTTCATCCACTCTTTCCTAATGTTGGGATCACAAGGAAGGCGATGCAGAGACTGTGTTTTTCCACATCTTGGCACTGAACAGCGTCTTGTTGTCTTCTGAGCATCTTTATCGTTTGGTTTCTGCGTAGACCTGTGTTTGTCTCTCTCGTTATTTACACTACAGGCATGAATCGGTGGGCGGAGCTAAACAGATAGTGATGTAGAATCGGTGGGTGGGGCTAAACAGACAGTGATGTAGAATCGGTGGGTGGGGCTAAACAGACAGTGATGTAGAATCGGTGGGTGGGGCTAAACAGACAGTGATGTAGAATCGGTGGGCGGGGCTAAACAGACAGTGATGTAGAATCGGTGGGAAGGGCTAAACAGACAGTGATGTAGAATCGGTGGATGGAGCTAAACAGACAGGATCAGAAGGAAGGCAATGCAAAGAATGTGTTTTTCCACAATTTGGCACTGCACAGCATTTTGTTGTTTTCAGAGCCATCTTTATCGTGTGGTTTTTGCGTAGACCTGCGTTTGCCTCTCTCGTCATTTACCTACTTTATGCGCGAATCGGTGGGTGGGGCTAAACAGACAGTGATGTAGAATCGGTGGGTGGGGCTAAACAGACAGTGATGTAGAATCGGTGGGCGGGGCTAAACAGGCAGTGATGTAGAAGCAGGCGTTGATGATCTTCTGCGGAGGCGGGGTTTAGCCACACTATTACGTCATAAAGCGACACATTCCACAACCTGTCGTTTTGGCAGATTGGCTTCAATATAAGCTGATTTTAGACTAAGGAGAAAGTTTTGAGTTCTGAAACTTACAGGATGATTTTATAGTACAGTGACCTCTTATATGTCAAAAGATCAAGGGAATTTTGATTTCTCAGTTCATGACCCCTTTAAACATCTGAACCACAAAGGTTGTGTCTAAGCCTAAAGTATTTATGAATATGGTTCCAGATTTCAAAATGTAAATTTAAATGGATGTGACACTGCTGGTGTTTGAGCACAAAGGTAACAGTGTGTGAATACTGAGTCTCTGTCAGACAAATCTCCCTCCAGAACTACTGTGTCTCTAGATCTGTTTCAAAACCTAGCGTGTGCTTTTAGGCATCATAGAGCACTTTCTAGTTGTGAAAGCTGGCCTAAACAATGATTAATGATTTAATCATTAATGATTTAAGATGCCTCTTGGATATTTTATTGCAATGCATTAAATATATAATTATTACATTTAATATATTTTTATATTAAATAATTGCATTAAATATTTTCCAAAAATTATTGATTAAATTATTGAAGTCAAATTAAAATGGCCTGTTGTACCCAATATGTGTATGATATTTTTAGATTTTTTTTTGTATTTTGTCATTAACTTGAGTGTTTCAAATCCCTTATAAAATATGACATTTATGATGCTGCCTATGAAGACAGAAAGGCTGCTCACTAGGTTTTGAAACAGAGCCTGTGTTTAGAAGGAAAGGAAAGCCTACGACACACTTTAGTATGAAGAGCAGTTCTCCCGAGCTTGTATGTATTTCTTTATTTAAATTAATAAAATGCAATAACTCTCTAATGTAGTAAAACCGAATGGAAGCGAGCCAAATGTCATAAAATTGCACTTCCAGTTATTTTACACCAGGTTATTAGACCAAAAACAGCAAGAGCATTGATTCGTCTGATGCAACAGAAGATCTAGCCGAGAGCAGTTTGTTCACTCGAATCATTTAATTCACATCATTGTCTCACAGTGATTTTTTTGGTTTCTTCTCACTCCGCTCACAGTCACTGCTGTTCATTTAAAATCACACTGGTTTGTCATGAATTACGATCACTCACCATCCTCTCACGCAGGGGCTTTGGAAAATGTGATGTTTTTGTTTAAAATAAGGGCTGTATGTGTGTTAATCATGTCATCTGTATGTATATATTTATGTTTGCATTTAATTTGTTGTACGTCTATGTGTTTGTCCCAGTTTATGTGCTATTGCCGTACAGGCTAACCAAATCAGCTAAAAGACAGGTAGTCAAGCGTATTTAGCATCTTTCAATATGCAACAATGCACACTTACTTTACCTGCATCATGCTTCCTTCAAGTCCTGCTGGGTAGGTCCCTAATTTTCAGTCATTTTACAGTGATTTTGACTGGAACAAATGGACACTGGTAATTTCAATAGTTTCTCACTTTTATCATCTAGATCAAATCAGTTTTAGCACAACCATAACAAAATAAAAAGTGAAGGATGTGCATTAGTTGTGCAGCTGAAGCTGTGTATATTTTAGCACGTAGCTGCAGAGGATGATGGGAAATGTAGTTTTGTAGCACAAGCCTGTCAACTCATAAACCACTTGTCAATCACAAAGTTTTATACTTGTTACCAGCCTAGGGGCTACAGGTATAAATTAGTAATGTTCCTGTAATCTTGCATGTTTATATTTAGTATTTTTTTATACTGATGTGCATTACAAACAAATAAATTCAATAAATAAATAATAATCATTTTTTAAATAAAATTATTTTAAAATAATCATAAAATAATGATTAAATGTTTAAATCTAGTCTGCAGAATTGGACAGATTTCCCTCCAAAATCAGCACAGAAAATAATAAAAAAAAGAAAAGGTCCATTTGGGCTTAATAATAACCAATATCAATTTAAAAATCCCTCAAAATTCAGGACTCGAAAACAAAAGCATTTGTAATTATGACCTGATGCTACTTCACATGCGCTCAATCATTAATGAAATGACTTGAAGGCAGCATATGCTTATTTTACAGCTTGAGATATTCATGCATATGAATCTTTATGATATTTGATAGTATATGATATATGAGACTATGATATATGAGTTAATATATGATATATGAGTTTTTGTTAATATTTAGATTTAGATAATAATTAGATTTTATATTTATTTTTTCTGTTTAATTTTAATTTTAGGGGGAAAAAATAGTAATTTAGTTGTCTGTTTTTGTCTCTTTTTTTTGTATGTCTGTATAGTATTTGTTTATTAGTTTTAAATAGTTTAGTACTTCAGCTTAAACTAAACAAAAATTAGAAATGTTGTCTTGGAAACTACACTCTAAAAAATGCTGGGTCACTGGGTTGAATTTAACCCAGCATTTTTTAGAGTGTAGTTGAAATGAAATCATTTTATTTTATTTCAGATAACGAAAATATTATTTATGGTTTTAGTTTTAGTGTTAGTTAACAATAATAACTCTGATTCAACCTTACAATAAGATAATTGTTAGCACTTACAAAGAGCAGCACATAAAGCATACACTCTTCAAAACAACCCAACCACTGGGTCAAAACAACCCAATAGCTGGGTTTGTCCCTTTTTAACCCAGCGCTGGGTTATATTTAACCCAGCATTTTTTAGAATGTAGCTTTAGTAGCCTATTTCTTCAGAGTAGAGATTAATCTAAATTGATTATGAGCTTATTTCATGGAGAATCTTCCTTTAGCTGACTGAATTAATTCTCTTGCATTTATCACCAGAGATCCAGAGAGTTTATTATAGGAAACTGTTCCATTAAGAATGCAACTTGGAATGCAGTTTAATATTGTCCTGCCTAACCATCCATGTAAAGGTAGCGAATCTAGAATGAGAAGATACTGAAAATGTCACCCCACATCTGCCTTGCCGCATGACACAGGCGTGTTTATGCATGAAAACTGATGGTGTTTCTCTCGAAAGTGCTGGGATTTTGAGACTGGTGTTCTGTGTTCTGATGGGGTCCAGTTCCATGACCCGGTCCTGCCCGAGATGGGAACGCCTACCAGAGAAATACAGCTCCGCCTGGAGCATGACAGGAGGATGAGAGCTGGAGCGGAGGAGAAAGACAGCTTCACATCATCCATCACTCAGGTACCTGCTGTTTTGCATCATGCATTACTGAACTGAACTGAACCAAAGCTGACCTGACTTGAGCTCTATCTTCTCTAGAGCTGCTTTACAGCTGAAATTATATTTATCTCATAATTGAAGAAATTTGCAACATTAAAAATCACAGTGAAGCTGCTTTGAAACAATCTGTAATTGTATAAAGCGCTATAGAAGTAAATGTGACTTGACATGGCTTACTTTTAGAAACAGGATCAGACCTACAAGTCATCAATTCAAAGACTCCTCACATATAAAACTGATGTGAAAATAGTAGTTTGCCATGGATAGACAATATATCAAGAGTACAGCACTACAGACCCAAAACATAGACTAGAAGTACAGTATAACTAGTTGACTAGTCTGTGTATCCACTTACCAGTCATACCAGCTTAACCATGTAAAGCCTGACATGTCAAATAATAGTCAAAAAAATATATATATTTTTTAAATGGAACAGTTTATTGAACCTTTTTTTTTTTTTTTTTTTTTTAAAGTTTGCATATGTTTTTGTTGAGTATCCTATTTGATATATCAGACTTTTATGGTTCATAGTTTGATATAGTGAGAATATGGAGGAAAACCAGCTCAGTTTTATTCCGAGGCCCAAATTGAGCAAAAATATGCAATTTAGTACAGATCCTGATATTTATATCGCTAAGTGACGAAATTCTGATGCTTGTAATGTAAATCAATGAGATCTTTATAACAGACAACTTACATAAAATGCATATAAATATCAATTGTCACTCTGTGTGTCTCAATAATATGTCTTTTTAAGATTATATTTAAATGCTGAGTTTGATGATCAAAACATATAATGCAATGCAATACAATGATAATTGAGAGATTAACAAATAAACGCTCCCCAAAAGTTTGATGATCATATTTGATACTCACATTTGAACATGATTTTATGGATATTCAAGTAAATCTATGTTGTTTCAGTCCAGTACGTGTTCGTCTTGAAATATTACTAGCATTATCAAAGTTATTCTTATGTTATTCTTATTTTAGAACTAGTTATTGCTGGTCCAAGATCCTACCAGCCTAGCCAGGTCCCCACTAACTTGTAGTCTGGCTAATTATCCACCTAAACCAGCTTAGACCAGCTAGCAAACTGCACAATAAAAAGTGTTTTAGATGGGTTTTCTAGTAGATTTACTTTTCCACTTGCTTTAAAACCCCCACATGATCTTTCAGAGACTTATTGCTCTCTATGCAAGCATGCATCTGTTTTATGTCATAATAATAACAAGTATATTAACCATAACTCTTGTCTATTTTGAATGTTTTGACTTGTGCAGGAGGAGGAGAGGAGGAGAGCCGAGGCCCGGCGAGGACTCGAGCTGCAGGGACTTCAATCTCATGAGCCAACGTGGCCACAGGAAAGAGTCCTGCTGCAACAGGAAGTGAGGTTGTTCCACCACAACATGGTCATTGTCTACATGAAGCTGCGCTGGATCCTGATGCACTGGAGGCTCGGCCGCAGGACGGACGCACTGGAGGAGGGAGCGCATGCTGAGGTGAGCTGATCCAGAATAACTAGCCTAGTTGACCAGATGACCAGGACATTTCCTGACAGTTTTTATGAGATTGACCCATTGCATCTATACAAACTCAATAAAAATATCAGTGTAACATTACATTTGGTCATTTACCACACGCTTTATTTTACTTTTATTATTATTATTATTATTTTACACCTGTGATTATTTCTGGATTATGCATTAATCATGCTAAAGTACTGATGTACTTTATTGTATGTATTTACAGATACATGAATGCATTTTGCATATAAATAAATAAAAATAAAACAACTAAATATTTTTATATAAAACTAAAACCAACTGAAACTAAAAAATAATCAAATAAATTAAATAAATGTTATTAGAATTTTTTGTTTGTTTGTTTCAGTTAGTTTTAGTTTTATATCAAATATTTAGGTTTTTTTTTTTTTTTTTTACTTAGTTTTGTTTTTTAATGAAACTTAACTGACTGAAACCAGAAATAATAAACTTTCTGAGATGCAAAATGTAAAACATGCATGATGTAAAGTTTGCATTTCTGATGAGTTCTTGTAGACCTGTGTCACTACTTTTTTTAGATGTATTTGTTTCTTTCGTGGCAGTTGGTCGTCTGACGAACCATAACAGTTCAGCATTGGAACAGTGTGAGCACATGTTGTATGATTTTTCATTTCACAGTCCATCTGTCATATCTACAACAGCTGCTGTGTTCTGCTCTAAACAAATGTTAGTTTTCTGAAGCACAACAAAATTTAACAGTGAGGCTCAGAAACACTTCCAGTGCAGAAATATTAGTCAGTCTGAAATTATTTCACTGCATATCAATACATCATCGTTCCTGTAACAGGAAAGCATGGCACTAGTAACGCCAAGCTGATGGGATCGATTCCCAGGGAATGCACAAACTGATCAAATGTATACCTTGAATGCAGTTTAAGTTGCTTTGCATCTGCTAAACGCATAAATGTAAATACATACATTAAATTACATCAGTAACTACTTTTGCATAATTAATGTATAATCCAGTACAAATCACAGGTTAAAAAAAAAAAAACATTTATTAATGTAAATTAATAAATGTAAAAACAAAAAATCGCCTTAATACATTTAATATTACATTATTTTTTAAATAGTTGTTTTTATAGACACAATGGGTGAATCTCATAAAAATGTCTTCGTCATCTGTCAGGTCAGAATTTAACCCAAAACAAAGAAAGAAGAAAGAAAGTATGTTTGAAACCTGTTTTAGGACCATCAAAATTTTTATGAATATAATGTCACATGGATTTAACCAGATATGCATGATTTTATTTATTTATTTATTTTTAATTATATTTTTTTATTATGTATTTTTTTTGTTTTGCACCCTCAAGCCATCCTAGGTGTATATGACTTTCTTCTTCCAGACAAATTCAATCGCAGTTATATAAAAAAAAATGTCCTGACTCTTCCCAGCTTTATAATGGCAGTGAATGGATGTTGAGATTTTGAAGCAAAATCTTTGGATTGAAGCATCCATCCATCATAAAAAGTAATCCACACAGCTCCAAGGGGTTAATAAAGGCCTCCTGAAGTGAAGCGATGTGTTTGTATAAGAACAATATCCATGTTTAAAACTTTATAAACTGTAATCTCTAGTTTAGGCCGTAGGCGTAGCTTAAGCTCTTGAGGATATGCTAGTCTTGCGAGAACCAAGTTTTGTTTACACCAAAGGAAAACCAGTGTCCTCTTGGCTTATATCAAAATCCTCTGACATTTTTCTTTATAAATCCTAATTTTGTACTTGTAATTCATGACCGGTGTTTTGTTTTGCTCTCTCCTTTGCGTTTCTGTG